TTAAAATTCAGTAGAGATGGAAGTTGTAGGTTGCTATTGATTCTTAGGTTTAGTTTCTTCTGAATTTCAAAGCTGACTGTTGGCTACAAAGTCAAAATTAAAGAAGAAAGAAATTTTGCTAACTATTAAATTATTCAATGAAAACTTATATTTGTGGCAGGAATTGTAAATAAAGCTTATTGAATAATAGGTACACACCTTAGAGAAAACAACTCGGGTTGCTTTCTTCATCTAAAAACCCCATTGTACTATATTTGAAAAGCTTGAACCATGCTACACATGCAACAACAATCATAAAAGAAAATTTAACCTCTAAATTGTAGTGAAACAAGTTTCTACAAATTGATAAATAGAAATATGGAACAAGATAAATTAACTTAAACATGAATTAAAAATAATCTTCAACTCTAAAACTGAATGTAACAGTTGTGCTACAGTAAAACAAAGATTTTCTTACTTTTTGTTTTAATAATAATAATAGGTCTGCTATTAATAAGATGGTGAGTGAATCTAAGTAGGAATGAACAAGTGCAACATTAGAGTACAAGAATGAAAAGTGATAGACTGATTAGTATTTTTAGAACTAAACATCAACTTGCACAAATAACTTTTAAATCCCTATCAATGATGTTAAAAACTTTTGATCAGGACTGTACCATATTATAAAAGTATATGCAAATTATAATTCATATGTAAATGTATGTGCCTGAAAAAGTGAAAAAAATGACGAGTCGAGATAATTCCCAGGAGAATTTACTAAAATTTGTTTAGAAAAAATTACTGTCCTGTGAACCATTCTAGGTTATCTTCACAATGAAAGTGAAATAGCAAAAGTAAGATATATCCTAAAAGTTCTTTTTGGGATTTTCTCTTTAAAATTATTTAAAATATCTAAATTATAATTTTCTTAATTTATGAAAATAAAAAATACGTAATACAATAAGTTAATTTGAATCATCTAAATAGTAATCCTTCACCTCTATCGAGTTCGTGCAGATTCGAAATCAAAGTAAAGTTGCACATTTATATATCTCCGTAAGATACCAAATATAAATTTATCCTATGTCGAGATCTAATTAATACTTGTTCAAAAATTTATTGTTGAATCCATGACTTTTCCGTCGAGGTCATATATCACATTTGATTTAAAGAGTATTGGCAACTACACAATTAAAAAAGCATATGAAAATATGAAACAAAATATAACATTTCTTCTCCACAAGTAATCTATTCTTTGAACATGCATAACAATCAACACACAATTTGTTTAGAAAAGCATATTTAATATAGAACATGGTTTAAATAACAAGTACAAAAATATACATGAAAATAAGAAATAAGAGTAGAAGTTAGAGGTAGAAACCAGTATGATTCAGGGAAGCTACTAGAAATCAAAAAAATTTATCTTATATACTCGTATCTAAATACTCAATATTACTCCTCTCTGGCACGCACTTATAACACACATAATAAAAAAAAAGATGCACTCTATCCACCTCCCCCATTAACATGCCCCCTTTTGCATGGAAATGAGCTACATATTCATAGATTTTGAAAATAACTGCAATGGTGGCAACACAGTAAACTTATGTTGTGTTATGATGCTTTTTGGTTTTTCACTATGGCACTATATTGAATCAACATGTCAGTTCACTAATCATTACATCGGTTCATTAATTCAACCTCATCAACTATCACTGTCGTAGCATTAGGAGTATTTAGCATTGCAATGGTAATATAGCACTGTGAGCTTCCATCTTCATCAGTTCAATCATCACAGACATAAATAGGTGAACGCATCTTTGCAGTTTGGCAATTCCTACATAGAAAAATTATTAAACTTTTAACAACTAACACTAATACACCTAAAACAATACTCTGCTAACATAAATTAGATTAAGAAAAAATGAGAAAATGGCTGATGTAAGTTGATGTCAAAAATTGACACAACCTAAAAACGCGACTCAAAACCTGACCCAAATTTTTCGGGTTAAGGTCAATCCATTTTTAAGAACGGATCGGTTTGGGTCCCAATTTTCAATATGTTTCAAATTTCCAGGTCGGATTTGGGATTGGGTCAACCCGGAAACCCGGATTTGACCAGGTTTTGACCCGGAAACCCAGGTTCGACGGATTAGGGAAGCCTTGCTCAATGACGAGTACGTAGAAGGCCGCACAATCGTGTGTAGTCGGGCGACGTTGAGGTCAGACAGGCATAGGTGGAGTCCGGACCTCACGTCGAATGACGAGGCAAAAATAAATCAAGTAGGCGGGGGTTCAAGAGGCATAAGTACGCACATGGTGCGGAACTAGCTGATCGCATGACATTGGTCTTCCATAGGTAACCGCACGGTGCAGATAGTCAGAACTCGAAAGTCATGGCTGCTCAGATGACGTTCTTTTGTTGGACCGAAAGTAATGGCGACGCGGGACTTAGGAGGGGAGGGCTGCCTCGATCGTTGAAATTTGCGAAGGCAACCAACACCTCCTTCGATGACGTTCCATCCGGTCGAGTCGACGGACAGCTCGCCATTTTGCTAGATTGAAAGTAAAGAAGACGACATTTTTGGCGAGTCATGTCAGGTTGACCGAGTCCGAAGCAAGTCGGGTTTCAGTCCGAGAAATGATCCGTTTTAAAGAAAAGGTTCGATTTAGGTCGAGGTCAGTTCCAGGTTAGACCCGTAACCCGATTTGACAACCCTAGATGTAATGTATCTTTAAAGAAAACTACTGCATACCAAGAAACTCCACAAGAACTCTAGGGCCTTTCCTTTGTCCCATTTGATGATGGGGTGAGTCCTTTAGTACCCACAAGAAAAAGTTTGCAGATATCAAGTAAATTCAAGTTACAAAAGAAGATAAATTAAAGAATTTTAAGTACAAAAAAAGTAAACCAAATGATTTAAGTTAAAAAATTCACACATTTCTTTCCATAGTAAGCTTAGCTTTGGGTACTTTAACGCTAACTTGTTCAGCTAAATCACTCAATCACTGTGTACAGAAAAACTTATATATATAATAGGCGAAGAGCTAAGAAAAAGGACAGATGAATTCATATATGATTTTTTTTTCTATTTTTTTGATGTACTACAATATGATTCATTAATTTCTAGTTCAAACATCTAATGTACTGACAAACAAATTTTATGTTCTCCACCTTAGCTCTAAGTTCCTTTGGTTGTCGTCCAGTAAAATCTTATAAACCTTAAATAAAAGCCCTTAAGTTCCCAATACATGCTCAATGGTAGTTGCCATTGCATTTGAGGATAAAACTGCAAGAGGTAAAACCTACCTTTATCAAACATGGGAGGGAACTTTCTTCCTAGGTAAAACGCAAGGCACAATATAAGCTATCAGTAATGCATACAACAAAACAAATAAATGATATCAAACGAACAAGAAAGAAAAAACAAGGAGAAAAAGCTCATTACCATAAAGGTGGAGCTTCTTGTGATGACTCCGATCTGAAAGGAACTACATCATAAATAAGGCGAAGAATCATATGTAACAACTATTTTAAAATTATTCGTGATGTGAAGACCAGATGAGCTCCCATCATGACTTCCATCTAACAAGAAGAATATTATAGAAGAAGGCGAAGAAGCTCTTTAGCGACTCTTTCAAAACTATTCTTTAGAATAGCCGACGAAGTGTGCAAGGAAAAAAGAAGAGAAAGATCATTACCTTTCGCAGCAAATACCATCATGACTTCGATCCATCAAAAGCGGTGTTGTGACTTCACTTGTGAATTCCCTAAATCCTAGAATAATACGTCAAGGTTTAAAATTGCATAAATAAGCCTCGAGGCGGTTTTCGTCCATGAGGCGAGGCGTAAGCCTTCGAGGCGGTCTGAGGCGTTAAGCCTCACGGTCGCAGATTGCGTAAATGAAATTTAAGGGGTTTAGCATGTAAATATAGTAAGATTCTATCATACAATAAAAACATCTAAATGACAAGTGGAATTAGTGAAAATTAAGAAAAGATATGCAATAAAAGCATGTTCCAAAGTACAAAACCATAAAATTAGAGTCTATCAGACTCCCAAAGTACAATTAAGAAGGAACATATAAAATCCAATTATCTCCCATCACTAAATGGGTCTTCAAGTGAATCTTCTTCTCCAATTGTATCTATGAATGTCATATCTTCATCATCTTCAATATGACTCACTTTTTCTTCCTGTTCAATAAGAATGATCATTAATTCATATCATGTTAATTGCTCACTTGATATAAATATAATGTAATAACATATAATAAATTGTAAAATACCTTTACTTGATTGTTGTGTTGTAGAGCTAGTGAGGTGTTGTGTGTGATACTAGTGGATGTGCCCACTTGATCTGCTTCGCTCCTCAAGACATCCACACTTAGATCCTCTAGCTGTAAGTCTAATAATGATAAATCTGTCTCATCATCTATGAACCACTCATTATCAGATGACACATCATCACACACCAACGGGTCCTCTAGCTTTATGTATAGTGGAGGAAGAGCCCTTTCCACTCTCGCTCCCGAAGTAAGCACCATGTTCGACCCTTTCATCAAATTGCTCATGTTGTAAGTGTTTTGCCGTGGTTCTTTTCTTCATGTAAGCAATAGTTTCATCATTCATTTTGTCTGGCACTTTTGCACTCAGTGCTACGTTCTTATGAGAGTATGATAAGTGTTCCTTCATGCGGGTTACTCCGCCCTTCACCACTTTCTCATAAAAATTGCCATGTTCGACCCTTTCATCAAATTGCTCATGTTGTAAGTGTTTTGCCGTGGTTCTTTTCTTCATGTAAGCAATAGTTTCATCATTCATTTTGTCTGGCACTTTTGCACTCAGTGCTACGTTCTTATGAGAGTATGATAAGTGTTCCTTCATGCGGGTTACTCCGCCCTTCACCACTTTCTCATAAAAATTGCATTTTAAATACACATACGTCTTCTCGCCGCCTCTAACATCAACTTGTACATTGTATTTCCAAGAAGGGTCACACCGCAATGATGTATTTGTCTTTTCCTTTCCCCTAACCATGTTTTCTAATGCACAAATACGAAAACATACAAAAAATCTCAAAAAATAGAAAAACCTAGATTTTCTATAACTTGAAAAAACTTTTCTTGAACTTAAAAAAATACCTAAAACCTATAATGGAGTGCTTGTAGAGGGCGGCCGGACCTTTCTTGCTCACCGGCGTGAGGTGGCGCCGGCAGGAGAGGTGGCAGACAGCAAACCGAGCAGAGCCCGTGCGGAACTTCTGCGAATGGAGCACCTGCTTTGCGGGAGGATTTTTTTCGATTCACTAGAGCCGAATGGTATAACAGGAGAAACAAGTCATTTTTAAGTAGGTGGGACCCGGTTTAAAGAGGCGTACGCCTCACATGATATTTCGCAATAGCGCCTTAGAGGCTCCAAAATTGCATGGGCTTTAAGGGGCTTGAGGGCTAAATTACGCAAAGGTGCGCCTCTAATTGTGACTGGAGTTCCTGTTGTGACTATGAAGCAACAAGAATAACATCCTAAGAAACTTTAACTCGTTTAAAACTCTTCTGTACGAAAAGTTGAATAAGAATTGACAGACTGAATAGCTAATCACGGGAATGGTATCTGAAATGGCATAAATCAAATGGTGATGATTTTTAAAAAAAAAATTAAAATAAGGATCAATCATGCTTCTTTATGAGAAAAATCATAAGCCACACTTATATAATAGTATAGATTTAACATCATTTAGTTTAATGTTTTTAAACGCAAAAAAAAAAATTCAAACTTCATAAAATTTATAAAGATTTCTTAAAAATTGATTTTATTTTTATATTATTATTTCTAAAACCTGGCTCTATTTATAAGCAACCATATGTTTACGGTAAAACCTAAAATCTTATAGGAAAACCAAAAAATAAGAAGAGAGCATAAGAGGAAAATTGCTTGGTATAGATAGTTTAGGTCCATTATATCCCTAATCATAGGATCTACAACAGTTGGAAGTTCCAATCAGTCTGTCAATTGCGGCATAACTAGCAACATGAATGATGCAATATTAAATATCATGATAAATAATTGATTATGATATAAAGATAAAAACAAATCATATATTATATGTCCTAACTTCACAAAATGATGTCCAAGTCACAAGAGATTGGTAGTGAGATGGTGCAATCTTTTCAACAGTTCTCCTTCCAATCAGCAGCTCAAGAAGAACTACTCTGAATGCATAGACATAATTTTTCTTAATAACCTTGCCTAAAATAAATGTAATTTCAAATATGAGTAATTGATGAAGAAGAAATTTCAGTTCATGTGAGTAATGAAGTGACAAACCATCTAAAATATATTTTGGTACAGTGTTGTCTAGCACCCTTATTTAGGCCAAAACCTAAAATCTAGTTTCAGAATAGTGATTTATTTGAAGAATATTTTTCATATTACAATTTGATGTAAACATAGTAAGATGCCACTGTAAAAAAATTAGGTACCTTAGCATTAAAATCCAAATCAAGAAGAGTAATTGATACCTTCAAATCTCAATGAATCACAATGAATCACAGGAGGGTAGCAGTGCTCATTAAGATCTTCAAGTCCTCTACTCGGCATTAAATTGGGAAGTAGCAAATGTGATTCATTACTGTAATGTATATGGCAAATCCGAAAAGAATCTTAATGAATTTCAAAAGCCTAACCTTGTTGTCTCGAGTGTAATTTTCATTCGCAAATGCCAAGTTAAAGCTGGTCCATGAGAATTTGCTTCAAGCTAAAAATCTACTATTTTTATTTTTATTCCAAGACAACAAAAAGAAAGTTCCTGCAATTTTTTTCCAAAGAACCATTATGCAGCAACTTATAGACAAGGAATGTGGTTTCCCCATGCATGCAATAACCCAAAAGTGAGACAATATTTGGGTTTTCGATTCTTACTAAAAAATCCAATTCATTCTACAAATGCAAGTTGAATTAGTAGTTCAAACGTAAACTAGTCAACTGATATAGATAGTTAAGAAAATGGAGAGATAGAATTTATATCAAATATTCTCTCATAGTCCTGACCACAGCCATCTAACTTCATTACTGCTGCAAGAACTCCATCAAAGCAAGATTGATAAATATGGCCAAGCCTCCCTTCTTCCAAAATATTATTCTTACTAAAATTTTTGGTGGCCAATTCCAAAGATGAGTACTCGATCTTTGCAAAAAATGTTTTCTTGTTCATCATCTGTATTGAATTAAACTAGCTAAAAATTGGACCCAAGGAAGTCCTTTAGTAGCATAATCTACACCAAATGTAATATACATGTAGCATACTGTTAAAAACTGTTTCTACAAATTCAAGCTCAGACAAGGTTTGGATGTCTTTGAAGCATTGAACCAGGTGATTCTTTGGCCAGATGATCCAGAAGAAAATGATAGATAGATCTACGCATGAAATGGCAATAGATGAGAGAGTAATTTCAATGATCAGTCCTTTGTTCAAATGGTGGTGCTGAACTACAACAATTACCTTCGTCACTGCAACCAAAAACATTAGAAGATTTATGTAAAAACGTTATAATTTGTTAAGAAAAAGATATTAGATATCTAGATAAACCAGCAACATCGAAGCTCCAAAAGTCAAAAAAGAAGAAAATGCTTTTAAGTTACAAAGTTGGTGAGAGAATTGAAAAGCTTAAAAGAAGTTACTAAAACTTACTAATAAACAAAATTTCCAACATGTAATGAAGTAGAAATATGAAAGAAGGAAAAAAAAAAAAGATATATAGAAATGATGAAGAAAGTGGATAAGCAACTATCTCTAGGAGAAGGCACCAGAAGAACGGGTGGCCCATAAACTTGCTTAACTAGAGGGGAGAGGGGTCGAGCATGGGAAGGCAAAGAAGCATTTTAGCAACTCTTTCAAAACTATTCTTCAAAATAGTCGAAAAGTGTGCAAGGAGAAAAAAAGAGAGATTGTTACCTTCGCAGCGAACTCCCGTCATGACTTCCGATCCGATAGAAACAACATTGTGAATTCGCAGCAAACTCCCTAAACCATAGAATATCGCGTAAAGCTTTTTTAGCAACTCTTTCAAAACTCCTCTTCACGGGAAGCACATGGAGGGGCTCCCGTTTTGACTACAATCCGACAAGAACAACTTGCTAAGAAACTTCTACTCTTTCAAAACTATTCTTAACATGAAGCCGAATAAGAATTAGCAAACTTAATAGCTAAGCATAAGAATAGGATTTGAAAAGGCGCTAATCAAACGGTGAAGATCTTTTTTAAATAAAAAGAATGATTAGAAAAAAAGAAGAATCACAAGTCACACTTTTAAGTAAAATATGAACAACTTCTACTAATGCATAGTTCTGCATCGTATGGCCTAAAGCAATATAAAACATTAAATGACATACCTAAAGAAATATAAAACATTAAATGATTTAGTGATTCCTAGCATCCACAAAGAGGATTACAACTTAGTGTAAATTTGTGAAACAAGAAAAAAATCCAAAATAATGATTCAAATCAATAAACCATTATGAGAGATAGGGAAAAATAAATGATATTTCAAAAGTCTAACCAAAGTTACAATTAATGGAGTATGAATGAGACTTTAAGAAAATAATGATCGAAGACTAAAAGCATGTACTCTATTAAACCCTTATAATATACAAAAGATAAAAGAACCTAGAGTTCAATCCAAACCATTAAAGTTGTGAACATATAAATAAACTCAAAAATAATTACAATAAGAAATAGTAATAATCCTAAAAATCAAGAAAATGATAAGATAAATGACCATTAATCAACAGCTTCCATAAGATGATAAAAAATGTTAATCACAATAGGCCAGATCGGATGATAAGCAAAAGTATCCCATACTCGAGCGATACTCCAAAAAAATAGGGACAATAATTGAATCCAACAATGCATCGCAACAAACAGTACTTTCAAGAAGTCTAGAACATCATATTCTAAAAAAAGAAGCTAAGAAAATAAATCCAACGCATGTGATAATTAGAATAAGATTAAAATGTCATTTAATGTATTAATGATATAATCTCTACCAACTCCCAATCATAATATTCATTCAACCCAGTGACATGTTCTAAAAAAATTATCGCAACACAAAGATTTTCATTGAAGGATCTTTAAGAAATCTCAGCAAACAAATCACGATAAATTTAAGGAAAATGTTGAATGCAAACTTTGAAATAGTTAACTAAGCAATAGAGTAGTCCTAGAATCAAAATGACACCTAGTATGAAAACAAGCAAAATCAACAAAACTAGATGTAAATAGAATTTCATCAATGAATCATAAAAAACAGTAAATGGCAACATGATAAACTCCATTGAAAAGACTTCACCACATAACACCTTTTTCTACTAGACTATTTCTAGAAAGCAAGAGAACCAAAGAAGAGAACTATAAATAATTTCACTTCGGCCTTTTGTTTCTTTCCAATTCCCATGTGTCAACAAGCAAATCTCACAAAAAGTATGAAAACTTCAGTAAAGAAGTTGTTTCAGGTCTTATGCACGATGAAATTGGAGCAGTGCTTAGATTGTCTTTCTAGAAGTCATAGTTGGAGCATGAAAAATGCCTCACAATATACCATCTGCAAATACAAAAATAAAATTGAGTAAATTAATTGGTGAAAAAGCTTTAATAAATTTGTTTGAATTTGCAAGGACTTACATTATAGAAATATGAAAATGAGGAATGTCAACAATCTTGTGCCTGTCATTACTTGAAATCATTTGATAACATTTCTGCAATTATGGACGACAATTGTTGATGATCATATTTTCCAAGGAGTGGGAGAGGTCTGGATTAAGAGTAATTGCTAGATAGATAATTAAAAGCTCTTAGGATCTCCATTGGCAGCAAAGAGTCATCGGTGGCATTTTAAATTCTAACTTCACTGAAATATATTAGATAAAATTTTTAAATAGTAATTTTTGAAGCATAAAATTAGATCAGAATGCTATTATGCACATCTTAAGACTAAGCTATAAATTTTTGCCAAGGCATCTACAAAATGGTTTCACTTTTTGTTTCATATTCCCACAAGATCACAACTTCAAACAAGAAACGTTAATTATTATGTGGATCACATTGGGAATTATTTAGTCATCTCATAATCCAAGAGAAACAATGAAGGATATTTGAGAAAAGTATTTTAATGTTCTGATTAAGAAATCTTTCTTTTAAAAGATTGATACTAAGATTATACCATATTACAAAATGCATGATTTATTATATGAATTGGAATGATCTATTTCTACATTTGAATACTTTAGAGTTATTGATAATGAAGATTTGCCCTCAAATATTTCTGAAATAATTCGACACTTGTATATTAATACCAGCAATCTAAAACTACTCGGGAAGATGAATAAATTTAAATATTTGTGTTCTCTTCATTTATATTTTGGACAAAACAATCATGATTTTGATAAGGTGCTTTCTAAAATTTTTAAAGAATTAAGAAGCATACTTTTGCCATGCATAGATGCTCCATTTTTTAAAACAATACCTAAGATAATTAAATTCTGATACATTCTCCATATTTAGAAATGAAGACCACTATTACTTTGCAGATCTTTATATAGTCTCCATTACTTACAGTTCTTAATATATTATAGATATTGCTCACCTCATAATTACTTTCCAACGGAAATGAGAAATCAATCTTATCTGCGTATGCTGATGTTGTCTACACATATGTATCGTTGGATTAGTGGAGTTAAAAATCTAATCTCTTCAATAGCTGGAATTAGTTTGCTTTAAAAATAAGACTGATTATAGAATTGGAGATCAAGAGCAGATGAATAATCATTCAACTATTACATATCAAATTTCTTGAGAGCATAAATGATACCAAAGACGCTTGCACTGCAAAATTAAGTGACAAGAAGAATTTAAAGTTGTTAACTTTAGATTGGAGTGACTTTGGTGTTCGGGGTACTAAAAGAAACAAAATTCTTGGAGGGAACAAAGGCTAGGAAGCAAGAAAGCAAGCAATCTAGGCTATGAAGATTTTCTAGTAAAGAAAACACAAAGAGGGAGGGAGATTTGACAATTCTCGGATCTTTGGAACCATATTGATTTTTAGTTTTTTTTTTTTTAGAGAAAAAAGACCAGGAAGATTAGAAGGCAAGCAATGCAAGTTTGAAGGGTGACTAAATTTAGTTCACGCAAAGGAGGTAGGGAAGGTAATGTTCGGATCCGAGGGCAAAATTAATGTGAAGTTCATGGAAAGAAGAAAAGGCTAGAAAGGCAAGAAGGCGGGTAATCCAGGCTACCAAGAGATTCTAGATGCAAAAAACACAGAGGAAGGGAGGTCTGACAATTCTCGAATATTTGGAACCATATTGATTCTTAGTTTTTTTTATAGAAAAAATACTTGGAAGATTAGAAGGCAGGGAATGCACGTTTGCAAGGTGACCTAAATTTAGTTCACGCAAAAGTAGCTAGGGTAGGTAATGTTCAGATCCGAAGAACAAAATTAATGTGAAGTTCATGAAAAGAAGAAAGGCTAGAAAGGCAAGAAGGTGGGCAATCCAAGCTACCAAGAGATTCTAGATGGATAAACTTCAGAAATGAAAAGTTTTTGAAGCGACGAATAGGAGAAAGATAGGCAAGAAGGTTGGATCTATAATAATTAGAGTTGGATAAGTACTAATCATTCCAAAGAGGTAGGGATGTTCGGCAACTTTTGGAGTTCAGCAACTTATTGTAAATGTAAAACCTTAAGTGAAGAAAGACATTCCAATAAGGGAGAGATTGTAAGGATTTGATCCTTCTAAAGTTCAACTCATAAATAGACGAGCTAACTTGCAAAAACCACTGCTCTGCCTAAATTGGAAACTAAGCCAGCTCATTTTTTATCCTCAATTGTTAACTTTTGGATGGAGTTCTTAATGGTGTCATTAGCAAAACAGATGGATCATTAATATCAAGTTCACTTATACTGAGCTGGCGAGTCTCAGTAGTCTCCACTTCTTGTAGTCCTTCGGGTGAGATCAAATTGGGGTAATCTCTAATTTCCAATCATTTGAGTGCAGGAATTTCATCAGCTAGGGGAAGAGATGTGATGTTTGAACAACAAAAGACTTTTAAAACTTCAAGGGGAACAGACTCTGAGATGCTATAACAGTTTAAAGCTTTCCATCCAATGTTATTTGCATTTAATGTCTTGAGCATAGGAGGCCAAGCGGGCAACTCTTGCAAATTTGATCAGTTTTCTAGGCATAGTTCTCTCAAGCATGGAAACTGTTAGGCCGGTTCACCCTGAACCGGTCCAACCGGCTCAAGTTTATAGGAGGCAGAACATGTCCGCCTCCCTAGCTCTTGCCCGACCACATGGTGGGCACCAACTAGCCCAATGGATTTCAAATTGAAAAGGAGGGAGTGGCTAGGTCTGGGAAGGGAGATTAGAATAAGAAAGTGTTTGTATTAAGAGCATAAGATGTTTAGAGAATGATTATTTTTTTATTTGTGCTCAATTAGGGTTTCTTGGCGACTTGGCTCTAGACTCTCTTGTCTAGAGATTTGGGAGAGACAATCCTCCTCTAGAATTGAGGATCTCTTGTATCTTGTTTTCTTTATTATTTCGCTTTGATTTTCCTACTAGAATATATTGTTTTGGGCTGTTTTCACCCATATTTTGCATTATCATCGCTAATTTTAACCAATTGGTGATAGGTTTGCTAGCAAACTCAAGTATTACCCTTAAGGTTACTTGCGAACTCAAGTATTTCCTATCATAAACATTCAATAATATTCCCCTATAGCCGCATCAAACCAATTCTCCAGTGCATTCAAATTTTTGATACACAACATCTCTAGAGTTTGAAAGACAAAATCTCTATCATTCCCATACAATTTACTACAAAGTTGTTTTACTTTTGGCATACGAACAAGAGTAAGAAACTTGAGAAAAAGAAATACAAAAAAGGAAGTAAAGTGTGCCACTCCAAGCAACTGATCTATAAAAGTGAAATAATTCTATAGATGTTTTGGCAAAAATGTATATCTTAATCTTAAGATATGTATGATAAAATTATGATCCAATTTTATAATTTCAAAATTATTGTTTAAGACTTTCATCCAATATCATTCAGTAAAACTAAAATTTAAAACACCGCGGATGACCATTGCTACCAACAGAGATTCTTAGAACTCTTTAACTATCTGTCCAGCAATGACTCTTATTTTCTTATTATCATCAAGATTCCCCATATTAACAAATGTATGATAGTTGAGGAGTTGCAAACACTCACTTCATCCAAGCCTCATAATCTTAATATTTCCAATTTCTTCTTAATTACCTTTGATATCATCATTGCAATAGAGCCTATTCGACTTGTTATCAAAATTTTGCTTCCCAAACTTCCATAGGCCAGAGGTGCCAACACATTCTCTCCCATTTGACTTTATCCTACTCCTCCCAAATGTCATCCAGAATGACTAAAATTTTTTGGACATCACCTTGACTTTAAGACTCTCTTGAAGTGTATTAAGTGACTCCAAATCCTACATCTTCCCTTCATGGGATGCCAACGTATCTTTAATGACTCTTTTATCATCAAAAGAGTTGGAAACACAAACAAACATCAACTGAAACTTCATCAAGTTTATTCACTACCACCTCCACTTTCTTCAATGTGGAATCAATATAGATAGCACATTTACCAAATTTTATAAGTCTTTCCTTTATGTTCAACTGCTTCTGAAGTTGCTTGTGCTCAAACACATCGAGCAAATCATTTGCCTCATCAATGACATCTCGTAGAAGCCATAACCATTTGTTGAGAGATGCATTTTGATCTCTGATATGTGTTTCTTTGGAAGCAAACATGACAGACTGGATCAAAGGGGGGGGGATTTTGCCACCTTTCCAGCTCCTTATTTATGCTTTTGCTCCAAATATATTGATTTTGCAGGTACATAAAGTCGATGTGAATGAGCCTCTCCATGATTCAACCACCAAACCATTCTAGCACCACATCCATCAAGATAGAGTAGAACAATTAAAGAAGACTCTGTAATAGATAAAAAGCAAAAGGTCAATAAACCAGAGGAAGAGTGGAGATGAATGAAAAAATGAATTAACAAAAGTCTGATTTTTAGCTCAAAAAGTAAACTATAAAAGAATTAAAATATTTGTGTCAATATTTTATTAGACTAAACATAAAAATTTAATATTTGACACTTAAAATGTTAATATTTAATAGACAAAAGTGTAGAAATATATTTCTAAGAGATGAACACATTATGCATTGTATTTTAAAAATAATACAATACATCACAACGAAAGATTCATATGATTAATCGCTGAAAGCATAATTTACTTACCAAACTAATTTTACTCATTCGTGTGAATCTTGAATTGACAAAGGAGTTAAAGAAAGCTTACCCCTTCTCCTTTAGCATTATATTTCATGCGCGCACACAATATAGATAGGTTTAACATATAACATATTTATCTCATCTTAAGAAGAAATTTACAAAGACAAATTTTATGTATGTAATCACACATCAGTTTGCATCCCTTTTGCATTTTAACATCTAATGCACCTAGTTATGTCTTGAATGGACTGCGATGAAGAAAAACAAGTTAATCTAGTTTCTTTCTACTGATGCAAAATTTGAGATTTATGTTTGCAAAAGTTTTTTTTCCTCAAGAAAATTGTTGTATAAAAGCCTATCTTCATAAATTAAAAAAAAAATAACATGTTCCCCTTTTCATCTTGTTAGTTAAGAGTATTTTAAATAAAAATCATATTTTATTTTGAAAAGAAAATTTAATATTTCAAAATATTTAAGGATTGTAGTTCTTTAGTTTGCTTTGTAGTGCTATGTGATGGAAGTTACCTTGCTTATCTACGTAGATAAATAGAATTTGAGGATTGTAGTTCACTTCTAAAACATGCAATTAAAATTAATCGATCTTTTAAATCAAGAAAAAATACATGATAGCATTGGGTCATTATATTAAACATAAACATGCTACCTATTAGCCTTGGACATGCTGATGCATAATTCATATCTTGACCTAATGAGTCTATTTGTAGTCAAAAACTCACCTAATGATCGATAAAAAATAATATATCATATACATGCCTTTTCTCAAGCTAGCTACCTATGTTTAACTAATCAACCTTCTCTTTCACTTGGGACCAAGAGGGTCAGTGGTATTCGCCACCAAGAATGATGCAAGTCTGATATTTTAAGCCTGATGTAATTGGTGTAATAATGTCATAAGTCCTAGTCCTCAAGTTTCTTCAACAATCTAGAATATGCATAATTCTAAGGTTTAAGGCCTCATTAGCCTATTCTACCACCCTCAAAGAAACTTTCACAATTCATCATTTACCTTTCAATTTTCAGGCTACATATGCCTGATGAAATCTTTCATGTATTGCAAGGTCAGCAGGTGAATCAGTTGAAGGTGGTTGGCTGGTCACGCATGTAGGTGCTGGTTGGAGAGGCTGACGACAGTAGAGCGCACGAGGGGAGAACGACGTGCAAACTGAAAAAAGATCACTGCTTCGATTGCGATGTTTGAGGCTATGAAATAAAATCACCGAGGCTAAGAAACTTCTTTAGCAGCGAATAGTCGTAGAAGCGCAGGGAGAAAAAGATCGCTACCTTAGCAACGAAACTTCCAACCGAACATGAACAACGTCGTAGAAGAAGGCGAAGAAGCTTCTTTAGCGGAGAACAGTCGAAGAAGCGCAAGGAGAAAAAGATCGTTACTTCACGGCCAGCTCTCTGCAAGCAACTAATTCAAAACTCTCCTTCACGCGAAACACGCGAAGTCGATGCGAGTTCCCGTCGTGACTTCCGATTCACAGGAGAAGGAGAACAAACATCAAACAAAATGTTGCAATAGAAGAAGAAGACGATGGCGGGAGAATGCGAAGCTCGCAATTTAGCTAAGAGAAGGTTGCGATGGCGGCTGCGTTAAGAAGGAAACCCCTTAGGGCGAAACAGAAGAATAAGAATGTGGAATGGTGGGAATACGAAGGGTTGCGATGGGAATGCGACGTCATTAAGCTATGTGTGCCGTTGATTTGGCTAAGCGCATAGGTTTTATATATTAGTATAGATTTATACTGTAAAAATAATTTTCTTAATTATTCTTTTTATAACACTTACACACATTTTATTTAATTAATGAAACTAGTTGAAGGCGACTCTCATACTTACTCAAAAATATATATATTTTTTTATAGTTTTGATAAATATTCCCCATCTGATAAATTCAAAATTTGATCTGTTTGCACTACATGAACATGTTGGATTTGGACAAAATTTAATATCATTTAAAATATTTATCTATTTTAAGATTTAAAATCAATGAGTTAACTTGGAATATATTTCATATCATACAATTCATATCGTATAGGCTAAATAAATAGGGATCTTGTTCGGATGATCTTCATTTTGAGAATATGATTAAATGTTCTGAATAAAAAATTTGTACTAATCATATTATATAGGTCTTTATTATTATTATTCCCATGAATTTCTTATAAATATTAAAGGAACAAAACAATCCATATCATATAGTTTTTTTTTTCTTTTTTCTTATAAATTAATCAGTAATTTTATCCAAATCATATAGTTCAATCAAGCATAGAGCAATTTTAGGGTTTCAGACTGATTGAATTAATTGTATTGTATGATTGTATTGTATGATCTTTTGGATCATACAATATGATCAGGCCAATAATTTTATAAAATAGCCTTTTTAGGGTTTCTTTTGAAACCCTTATATAAATATCAATATCCAAGAGTATGGAAGAGTTTTTTTACCATAAATTTTTTTTTCCAAGAGATAGGGAGATTGTGTGAGCTTTTGAAGATAAACTTTCAAGAGGATTTTAGGAGAGAGATTGGAGAGACATTGAGAGATCTTTTGAGATGGGCCAAAAGAGTAGGTGATGGATTCATTAAAGATTGTCTAGTCCAATCTACTTTCTTATTACTCTAGATTATTGTAAAGGCACTTAGATAAGAGCTCTAGTGAGTCTTAGTGGGAAGACTTGGATATAACTAAGGAGGCTAGAGAGAAGTTACTTTTTGAAGAAAAGGTGTTGTAGGTAGAGATAGAGGCTTATCTGTGAAGGAGAGGCTTCTCTGCCTAGTTGGAGGTAGAAGGAGAGAGGTTTCTCAACCTTTTTGAAAGTAAGCCGAGAGAGTCAGTGGAATTTTGTAGGAAATGACTCAAGGAGTGGAAGCAGATCAAGTTGATCGAACAACTATAAATAAGATAGTATTTTTTTTTTCTGCACTTACTTTATTTCAAACTTATTTCCTGTTTATAATAGTTTGATGATTTATGATGAAATTGTTGATATAGCAAGCTCGTACTTTTAATATTAATTTTGCTTGATAAAATAATTCTATGAAAAATAAAATAAATCTTTAGAAATATTTTTTATTGTATTAGGATTTATTTTTTAGCAAGTTTTAAAAATAGATTTTTAATTATATTGGTAATTGTTCTTACTCTAATGTCTTTAATTTATTTATTTATTTTTTCTTACTCTAATGTCTTTTAAAATGTTTTTTTTGTTTTTATTTAAAAGATTTTAATAAACACCAATTCCTCCCCCCCCCCCCCCAATTCCCCCCCCCCCCCCAATCCGTTGTATGATTTGTGATAACATCAAATCATTTTTAATTGGTATGGGGACTAATTCTTATTTGGTAGGCTTAAAAATATTAAGAAGATCTGAATAGGGCCTGCAGCAAGTGGAACACATGGGAGGGGTACTCAATTACTTGTCTATCTCTTTTCGATAATATTTATTTTTATTTCAAGAAAATTTTGATGGCTACATATATTTAATATATAAACTTAAGAATGTGGAACTTACCTCTGGTATGCTGAGCATTGCCCCATAGAATAGAAAATGACATTAAGGTTTAATTTCCATTTAGTGATTGAAGTTTTCATGATAGGGCGCTTTCACAATTAAATGTGAAATATTTCAACAATTTTTGCAATGCTTTGAAGTCAGAAAACTATGTGTATTTCTACTTGCACCACTTGCAAAATAATTTGGGATAGGCTTTGCATTACTTATGAAGGAACTAATGAGGTGAGGCAATCATGTATAAATATTTTATTACATAATTATAAACTCTTTCAGATGCAAGCACAAGAATCTTTTTTTGACATGTTTTATAGAATTTATTACTTCACTACATACCTTAGTAAGAGAATTTACTACTTTCAAAAGTTCAAACAAAATTTCAAGGTTTTTGCCCAAATCCTGCGATGCCAAGGTAAGGAAATATTGGAATCAAAATATTTAAATGTATATTCTATTGATAATTTGCTTGGTTCATTAATAACATAAGAGCAAAAAGTTAGCCGAGACATGTAGATATCAATGAAAAAAATTGAAAAAGTGATTGAATTAAAACCTGGTGATTCTAATTGCAACAATTTTGAAGAAGGTGGAGTATAAAACATTGCTTTCATGACTAGATAATTAAAAAAAAAATTTAGGGGCAAGGAGAAAAAGCACAGTCACAAAAGACGAGGTAAATATGAGAAAGTCAATAAGATTTCTACTAGCATTGTTCATTTTAAATATAAAGAATGATGTTGCATAAAGTAGGATTATACAAACCTAAAAAAATATTTACCAAAAGAGAAATTTGAGCATAAAGCTTAAAAAAAAGTTTAGGAGAAAGCTGAATCAATAAAGGGCAAAAGAATATCTCAAAGAGATTTTTGGGCCAATTTAAATTTTGATTCGCCAAAGATTAAAGTTGAAGAAGAGATTACTATTCGATGCTTAATGGTAAAAGACAGCATAGGAGATACCGATGAGGTTCAAGTATGTGATTATGCTTATGATGAATAACTTTCTTTTACTAAGCATTTACATGGTAGGAAAAAAATTTTGCATGCTTTAAAAAGGAGCATAGTGCTTTGCAAGATTAGCATTGTAAGCTGATTGAAAATTTTGATGATTTAAGAAATAATTTAAATGAACAAAATCACATACATATTGAATTAGGCATTATATACAAAATATTAGAAGATGAAGCATTGCTTTTGTAAGAGAGGTTGCATGAATCCCAAGTTAAGGTAGGAGTATATAAATGAATAAATGATTGTATTAGAAAATATTTTGTACACTTTTCATCTTGCTCATTACACACTCACAAACAAACAAGTCTATTAGGGCACATTAAGCATCATTCTCCTCAAGAAAGGAAGGGTTTTTCATTGCATAAATTTTCTCATTCATTTCCTAAAGTGATGTGTTATTCTTGTGATATGGAAGGACACATAGCTCGTGTTTGCCCCATAAGATCTAGCATAGTCCATAGTTTGTTTGGAGGCCTAAGGACTTCGGTGCACACTATGGCTTGCATACATCTTTACTACACTAGTGTGGGATAGGTGTGGACAAATTAAATGTTGTTGTTTCACTAATTTGGATTTAGTATTTCTTTAGATAAATTTGCATAATTAATATTAGTTATCTCGAGAGATAAACTAACACTACATTATCGATTTGAGAAAAGAAATGATTTATTTTGGTATCCAAACTCGATGTAGGAAATGTAAAAATTATCTGAAATTGTAAAATTCACATTCCTATCGTTTTAAATACAAAATTAACCTAGGATAGGCTTTAGTTGACGTCGAGATATTTTCCCTCTCTCTTAGTAAACTAAGCATATTTATTTTATACTAGGATCATCGGGTTCTATAGTGGCAATCCCCTACAGTCAATTACATGTCTTAAGAGAAAAGTTTCGACTAAAATGGAAATTAGTAGTGATATAACAAACCTCTTATTTCTTTGGGCTACCAAACTTGTGAGAACTTTGATTGAGAGAGCATAAATGGGATCATCTCCATGGAAAAAGTATTCGAGCCCAAACAGTTAAGATGGTTGCTCCTGCACGCTTTTTTTTTTTTCTTACTGAAACTTATCAAGTGAATTTATATTATTAAATAATTATTTTAGATACTACATGCATAAATTTCTTTTGTTTCTTTTTCACAACTCATTTCAGATTTTAAATACCGTAACAATAAATTATAAAAGCAACTTATCCTTAAGTCTTACTTGTAAGTTAAATTATTTAATTTAAATACTAAATCAGCTAAATTTGAATTAGATTAAATTCTCATATTAGCTATTCAAAAAAGGGCTCAAATTATATTAATATGGTTGCAAATGACACCTTCCACTATTGTGGAAATGAACTATATACAATACAAGCTCCAACCAATTTCATAGCAAAAGGACACAAAGAACAATTGGACTCTGATTCATTGAGTTAATTACAAACAGTGCATGTCCTATTATGACAAACATCTCTCATATAGAATATCCATTTTTTAAGCCACCAATATGAATTTTTAAAAAGGAGGCAAATTTGATCGAATTTCCTCTAGAAAAAAAAATTCCGAGCAAGCATTATCAAAATGATTATATAGTTAATTCTACTCTTTTATATGAAAAATGGTCATACTTAATCCGACAGTAGTTATTTAGATGTTGATCATTGGAAGTTATTCACACAAAATACAAAGAATTAGCCACAAAGTTAGAACAACTGGGTAAAAAACTAAATAGAAGCAGGTTCTTGTAGTAGCACAAACAATGGTAAAAGAAACAGTT